GTGGCTGAGGGAGGCTTGGGGCCCAGAGTGAATGGTACCCCATGGCAATCCAGAATTGTTTGAAGGAGCTCTCAGCCCCGGCCACCAACAGTAGAGGGCCAGTGGTCAAACCTGAAGGACTTCCGGCATCTTCTCAGATGTACTGAAACTAGGCCTGGTGGGCACTAATAAAAAGTTGGTAGGATACTTTAGACTCCCTCTTCTTTGTGGCAGCCTCTGAGACATTGGGAGGCTGCTATCATGTCTCCCCTAGTCCTTCTTTTCATTAAACTAGACATACCCCGTTCCTGCAACCATTCTTCATATGTTTTAGCCTCCAGTCCCCTCATCATCTTTGTTGCTCTTCTCTGCACTCTTTCTAGAGTCTCCACATCTTTTCTACATCGTGGCGACCAAAACTGAATGCAAATATTCCAAGTGTGGCCTCACCAAAGCCTTATAAAATGGTATTAACACTTGGCATGTGATCTCGATTCTCTTCCTCTGTTTATGTAGCCTAGACCTGGGTTGGCTTTTTTGGCAGCTGCTGCCCATGGCTGGCTCCTATTTCAATGGTTGTCCACCAGGACTCCAAGATCCCTCTCACAGTTACCGCTATTGAGCAAGGTGCCACACATCTCATCCATTGCATCCCCTTCAGATGTTGGGGACCATTGGTGTAAAGCAGCAGGCCAGAAGGTTCCATCCTGCCTTCCTTTCTGCTTCCCTTCCCCCTTGGAGGACTGCAGGGCACCCTCCTGGTAGACCGATGGCCAACTCTGCAGGGCTTCCATAATGCAGCTCCCTTGGGCCAACCTTCCCACCTTCAACCCCCAACCGGTGGACTAAACGTGTTTGCCTGTTTGGTGTCTGGATTGAGGAGGACTTGCTTCCTAAAACTTGACCAAGGCTTCCTTCCCCCTTTGGCTCTTGACTTCCTTCTCCTGTTCCCCCCCAGGTCTGTCCTTAAGCCTACGACGTTGCCTGATATTCAGGTCACGGAGGCCGAGCCCACATCCGAAGGGGACCCGACGGAGGAGAAAGCAGGTAGGATCGGAAAGGAGGCGGCCACTACTCAGACCAAGGGATGGGGGTGGGGTGAGGGGAAGAAGCTCCTTTTTCATGGATTTCCACTGGTGGGGCCTGTTTCAGAAAGGAAGGAAGAATATGTATACACAGATTTGTTGGATTTACATCCTGCCTTTTCTTTAGTTTTAAGGCATGTTTTGCATAGAGCCTCCTCCTCCTTTCCCGCCCAAATTGATTGATTATGTGCCATCCAAGTCATTTTCAACTCCTAGTAACCACTTAGAGAAACCTTCTCCATCTGTCTCTCACTTGGTCCTTCAGGTTTACTATGGCACCCCAGTTGCTACTGAATCTGAGTCCACCTCCCTCCCTTCCTTCTTTCTCTCTCTTTCCTCCCTTCCTTCTTTCCTTCCTTTCTTTTTCCTCCTCCCTCCTCCCTCCCTCCCCCTTCCTTTTTCCTTCCTCCTGCTCTCCCTCCCTCCTTCCTTCCTTCCTTCTTTCTTTCCTTCCTTCCTTTCTCTCTCTTTTTCCTTCCTTCTTTCTCTCTCTCTTTCCTCCCTTTCAATTTCTTCCTTCCACCCTCCTTCCTCCCTCTCTCCCCCTTCCATTCTTCCTTCCTCCTGCTCTCCTTCCTATCCACCAACCTTCCTTCCTTCCTTCCTTTCTTTTTCTTTCTTCCCTCCCTCCCTTTCCTCCATACCTCCCTTTTCCCTCCCTCCTTCCCTTCCTTCCTTCCTTCCTTCCTTCCTTCCTTCTTTCATCTTTCTTTCTTTCTTTCTCTCTTCTCCCTTTTTCTTCCTTCCTTCCCTCCCTCCTTTCTTCCCTCCCTCTCTCCCTCCCTTTGCTCTTGTGCAAGACGGTTGCAATGTATGTTTTCATTTCAGGATTAGGACTGCTCAACTCTGGAGATTAACTGCTATAAGAGAGTTTCCAGCTTGGGTGTTTTTAAAAACAGAGCGCTTCGTGGCAGACAGAGCCAGGATTGCTCAGCTCTGAATTCTGTGCCGGAATCTGTGATGAGTTGAGAAATAACAGGAGGAGGGGAGTGGGCTTTGCACACATACATACACAATGACACAGACACACACAGGCAGATTCTTGCCTGTGGGGTTGTGGCATCTGTGGAGAATGAAAGACCTTTGATGTGATCCAGCTCTGTGGCTTAGGAATTTGCAAATACAAGTATGTACAAACACACAAACACACACACACACACACACACACACACACACACAGGCATCTGGCACCCGGGGATGTGAAGGAATCAGCCTGGCTTCTCCTCCCCCCCTCCCCTGGCAACGGGAGTCCTCCTTCCTTGCGACACAAAGCCTTGTTGCTGTGAGTTGCCATGGCTCTCCTTCCTGTTTGAGAAAACAGGGGAGCTGCTGATGGGCAGCTGAGGCGGAGGAAGGCCGGGGGTTTCTTGGCCATCAGAACGACAGCCTTCCCTTAGAAATGACAAGCCAATGGCTTATTGCGGCTCCTAGAATAGAGGT